CCCCCCCAGCCCCGGTGGCTGGGGGATTCTGGGGGGTTGGGGCCCCACAACTTTAAAATTCCCAAGGTTGAGAAACACTGGTTTACAACACCACCACCACCAAGTGGCTTGACACTCACTGCCTGCTTCCTGGGGCTGAGAGGGAGGGACTGGCCCCAGGTCACTCTAATAATACACCAGCAGCTTCCTAAAGATGTCCCTCAGTCTAGTTCACTACAGTTTTCTCCCAAAGAGAATATAAAAAGGGTTTGTTACTGCTGCTTCTCAAAAGTCTTTTGACTTACAGGGCAGGGGTCTGCTGGTTGTTTCCTGTTCAGTTCCTGGCTCAGTCTGACCTGCTTACCTTCTTCCAAGCCCAGATAAGGTTGCCCAGGTGCCACTGTCTAAAAAAGCAGGTAATTGAATATTGTTTATGTGCCATCAAGTTTGTGTCAACTCCTAGCAACCACAGAGATAGATTTTCACTATGGCAATCTGTCCCCAACCTGGTCCTTCAGGTCTTCCAACAGCGCATTCATTGCCACTGTAACTGAGTCTATCCACCTTCCTGATGGTCATCTTCTTCTCCTTTCTCCCATCTTCCCCAGCATTATGGGCTTCTCAAGGGAGCTGGGTCTTTGCATTGATTTGTGTCATCAAGTCAGTGTCACCCCTTTGCAACCACTTAGGTAAAACTTCTCCATGACAATCTGTCCCCAACTTTGTCTTTCAGGTCTTCCGACAGCACACCTATTGCCACTGTAACTGAGTCCATCTACCTTGTTGCTGGTTGTCCCCTTTTTCTCTTTCCTTCCACCTTTCCCAGCATTAGAGCCTTCTGCAGAAACCTAGGTCTGAATTGAATGTAAGGAGGGCATTTAAACCTAGGGAGCAAAATCATGTTTCTGGTCCTAATTGTTAGAGCTGATAAATTGGCAGGGAGAGCCATTTTCTTCTCAGTCACAAAAGGATGGGAATGAAATACTTCTCAGGAGTGGAAAAAAGAGAGCTTCTCTAGCTGAAGAGACAGGCAGGGGGGGAAAGGACATCATCTGTTTACATATTGCTCACTGGGTTGTTTCCACAAGACTTCCCCAGGGTTGATTTGCCCAAAGGATACTCAACAGATTTCCTAGATCCCTGCACTCTGAACCAGCTGAGGGCACAGCCTGGCTTTAAATTATTTATTGTACTTTTAATGTTTATTGAAAGTGGGCCTTAATGGATAAGAGAAAGAGGAGGCCACTGGAAAGACATCAGCAAAGAGAAATCAAAATTCAAAACATGTCCCTGGAGACCATCCTCTACCCTGCCTTTATAAACATTTGCCAAAAAGTCCAGTGTGGCAGTATCTCTAGTTATAACACATTCTCACATCTAGTTATAGCCTTCAGCAAGCACTAGAACTCCCTCTAATCATAGACAATTTAACAGACTCTTTATGAAACAATAAACCCTACAATTATTTATTGGGGGTGTCAGATTATGCTGTTAGTTTAATATACAGGGAGCCACCAAACAGAGAATTGGGGTGTCCAATATATCAACATCAGTAGAAAACTATTGGTCCATTTTGGTTAAAACTTACAATGTATTATTTTGGCAGACTCACTGGTATTTGCTGTCCTTTAGAGTTACATACTGAATGGTATATAGAAGCTGACAAAGGAAATAGAATTGGATGCTATTAAAACTGCAGAAAGGGTGATATCACAAGGATGGAAGAGTATTTATTCTCCATCCTTTATACAATGGTCTGAAGAATTTTACCTCTTCTGGATTTGAACAGACATTCTGTTGCTGAGAGTTTTAATAGAACTAATTAGCAATGTGGTCAGCTTTTACTACTGTTAAATCTTGTTATCCTTCCTCATCTAAGTTGGTTGAGTCACATTTTTAATTTGAATATAAACAACCTAATTTTAGATACAACATATGTGTAAAATAAAGTATGAATGATGTACATTCATGGACTTTTTTTGCAAATAATATTTTAAAGTTTTTTTTAAATACAACATAGTGAAGTATGTAATCACATCTAATGATTTTTGGGCTTTTTTGTCTTGTATACATATAGGAAACCATGGAGGATAGACACTGAAGGTTGTTGATGATTACTTGTTCTTCAGCCTAGCTTCTTCATTCTTCACAATGGTTGTGAGAATGAGGATCTCCTCCCCTATATGCACTGCCTCAAGTTTCACAATGAGAGGAGGGATATGAATAGGCATTGCAGCCTCCTGTATATGAACACACCTAATCTGGAGACCCCATCACACACAAACCAATATGAATTCAGACCATACAGATTATATAGAATCAGGCAAATGTGGGACAGGGGTTATTTATGGACCCTGCATGTGTGTGGATTAAAAGGAATTATCATTTAGTATTACAGTGATATCTTGTTTTAATTGACTAATTCACGGGCAGGAGTGCCCTTTATTAAAAACAGTGTTAAACTAGGGAGTACTCACTTGCAGTGATTTTCATAATGACCTCATGACTGAGCAGGACATGCAGTGGAAGTCTGGAGGCTTTCAGGGCTGAATGAGGAACAACAGGCTCAGGTTTAACCCAAGCAAGATGGAGTGGCTGTTAATTGAGAAGCCATCTGATTCCTGGACTATCCAAACTTTGACTCTGGAGGAGTTTGTGCTTCCCCTGAAATATTCGGCACACAATCTGGGTTATTTCCTGGATTCATGGCTCCTCCTGGAAGAAAAGGTGAAGGCCGTGGCCAGGAAGGCCTTTGTCCAATGCTGAGTTACAAGCTCTCCTGAAACAGAAGCGCTGACTACAGTTGCTCATGCTCCTCCATTGGACTCCTATAATTTCCTCTATATTGGTCTGCCCTCAAAGACTACTTCAGAAACTTCAGCTGGTGCAGAATGTGTCTGCCCACTTGATGATGTGTTATAGCTATAATGCTATACCATTGGAGTTGAACTAGCTACTGGTTTGATTCCAAGTATCATTCAAGGTTCTGGTTATTATCTATAAATCCCTATACAGCTTTGGTGCTGATCATCTCCAAGTTTGCACTGATGAAAAATCCCATCTATTGGCAACTATGGCAGGAGGAACCTTGGAACTGGCCAACCTCTGTAGGGTATCCCCTCCTATGGAACATCTGGACCCAACAGATGAGAGCTGCCACTTCTTGCAAAATCTTTCAGAAGCTTATGGCAATCTATTTTGAAGAGCCTTTGGGGATGCAAGATGGAATTACTCTACTCTGTTGCCTTGGGTAAGAAATGGCACCATGGGTGTTGTACTGTCCTTTCTATTACTTGGCTGTTATCTTGACTTTTGTATGTCAGCCAGAATGAAAGGACAAAAGTCATTGAGATAAATAAATGGACAAACAATGCAAATTACATCACTTGGATCAGGTTATGCTATTTGCATAACAGCTTACACAAATGACCCTAATTACATTTTAAGGGAAATCAGCTGCATTGAAGTCCAATAAACTGAAACTTGGCTGTCTTCAGGGAAACAAACGTCTAATATAAGCCAGATTCCAGAGGATTCTACAACTCTGTTAACATCTCCAAAAATGTTTTTACTTTTTCTTGAAGTAGCTCTTCATATCCTAGAGCAGACTACTAATGAAATTAAAAAGAATTCATGAGTTTTGCAGTATGAGAAGTTGGAAAAGTGATAAATATTATTTGGTACAACCAATGTAGCTCACTTACCTATTTCCTGCCCTCCCACCTTAATTTCAGCCTCTTCTACAGTACTAATTCAGTTGGATTTCTATAATAAGAAATTGCACTGCACAATAGACAGAAGTAAAATTACCACCTGTTATTGTGGTAATGTGGCATAACTCCACTGGAATCTTGAAAATATGACACAATATAAAAGTTTAATTTATATTTTCAATTTACAAACACAATAGTTTTAATCCAACAGAGGAACAGTTTTGAAAAAGCTTTGAAATATTTAATGCTGTGGATTATAAAATAAATAATACTTTTTAAAAGAAAATGTTCAGGGCTTTCTTTTCATAGATTGCAATGTTCTTAAAAAAGGGTTATCTGTAATAAATGTATAGCTTACGTATTTAAAAGAAAAAAAGAAAAGACAACTGTGAAGAAAATAGTAGAACTGTTACAGTTACCATAAATGAAACAGCTTAGAGCAAAACAAAAAAGAAAACAATTGTTTTATTTCTGTACAAGGAGACTACAAATAGCATTTTTAACACTT